TTCCTTGTTTTATTGCATATTCCATTATGAAGGAAATGAAGACTATATTTGAATATCTCTGCATTCTTTTTGAGAACTGGTGGTGTCTGAAGACACTAGCGGTCACAGGAAGCCCTAGGAAAGGAAGAGACTTATTCGGCACTGGGTTCTACCATATATCTCCTCTTTTGTCTTATTTAACCCACCTTGCAATTCAACACAATCTCAGGTTTCTTTCCTTAGGAAGTAACTACTGAGGTTAAGTTTGATCCAAAACATCCCCCAGAACCTAAAATCACACTTTATTTTTACCACAAGGATTCAAATCTAATCTAGTCATTTGTTAGGAATGTCTAACCATCAGTCAGGAATGATTGCCTTAGGATGTCTTAATTTAGATGTTGGTGAGACTTTTAATAGGCATTATTTAATTTCTGAGAGGCTGTTGGAATAAACCATGGGAAGAATACATACTCGACATTTTGTTTAAATTTGTAAAGTTTTAGAGAACATTAGGTACACAAGAGGGAGGTCTGAGAAATGTCTCACTTAGCATCCTGGGGACCTGATGCTTTTATGTCATGATCCAGTAGAAATTAGATAATGATCTCGTGATTAATAGTAACTCAGGGACACTGATCAGTCACTTAGGATCACTACTACAAAATAACAGGAACATTTTCTTGAGAGTTCCAGACACTTTGAACTTGCAGAAGAGACTAGAAGAAACTTTAGAGTAACAACAATGTTGAAATAAAATTTGTATATATAGGTATTTTGAAAAGAATACCTAATAATTACTTCAGTGTATCACAATTTGGTGGAAGACTTTTTGTGTTTTTTTTGGTTTTTCTCTGGTACCGGGAACCGAACTCATGACCTTGTGCTTGCCAGGCAGGCGCTTTTGCCGCTGAGCTAAATCCCCAGCCCCGGTGGAAGACTTTTTGTAAATCTTCATTTATATTCATGTCTCCAAATATTATATGATTAGGTTTTGACACAATATATTAAGCTAAAATAAAAATTTATTTGTTATGGAATCACATATACAGTTGGTATCTGAAAGACAATCACCTAGCAAGAGTTTAGTATTACTGGGAAGTTGAATGACAGAAACATGCTCTCTTCTGAAGAGCTGTCACTTGGAATTGGCCCATTTACTTAAAAAAAGCAGCTAAAGTTTATAAATTCAGAAGCTTCAACTAAAGATACAAATTGATCTCTGAATCAACAGCTCAAAAGAACCCCCTACATCCTTATCTATAAAAATGTTAATTTTATTTTCAAAAAAACACTAACAAGCACTCTCATGCTAACAATATACAATGAGCATATTATATTATCTGGAGGAGAAAACAATAAAAATAGTCACAATTCTGGAGCTTTTTCATGCATGATGTCAGAAAAAATAAATAAATAAGAGGAAAGATGTCAATTTGCTTTGGAGACTCCGAATATGTTTTGACACAACAAAATTAGACATCTACTGGAAGAACTGGTCCTTGAATTGACAGAGTCTGTCACCACCAGAACAGATCGATTCCAGTGTGCCAGAAACTTCAAGAAGGCAGCTGAAAAGCCATCGTAAACGGAGTGATGGATGGAGCTTTGCTCTGAAAACTCAGACCCTGATTCATATAGAATATCTGTCGTATTTTTATCTTTCTAAAGATATTTGCCTCTGGCAATCACTTCATGTGATTATTTCTAGTCTACCAGCCTGTGTGAGCTACTTTTGGGGTATAAAATATTTTGTCTTAGTCCAAAAGGCATTATGACTCATGAATAATATTAGCCTTATGCAGCTATTCTGAGATATGGTTTGAATATTTACAATTTAGAAATTCTCTGTGATGACTAATACATTTTATAGAATAGCTTTACCTTCATTATTGTAAAGACTAACAAATGGAAGGGAAATTTTTCCATGGTTTCCTCAAAATAGAACCACAAAATTCTATGTGTTATTAAAATTTAATTCCTGTATTGCAAAAGGCCTGCTCATCAACACAATATTTTAGATATGAAAAAAATTTAAAACTGTGAGAGTATGAGACTGGAGTGTAGCTCCATGGTAGAGCACCTGCCTAGCATACTCAAGGCCTTGGGTTCCATTCTTAGCCTCGGAACACACGATTGTTTTCTTTTTATTTTGAAAATATGTATCTGTTGAATTCTTACATTGAAGACCAAAATTATGTGCTGCTTAGGCCCAAATTCATAAGTTGAATTATTCTCTGAAATAATCATTTGTTCATTCATTCAACAAATCTTTATGGCATGTTTGCCATGTGTCAGATATGATTATAGGTGTTGGGTTCAGTACTAGACAGCTGAGAAAGTCACTCAAGACAGGTGTCGCTGGAAACCTCCTGAGGTCAACAGTTTAGCATGGAAACATGTTCTGGTGCAGTGGTTAAGGCTTCAGTGAGAGAATTATGGAGAACACAGTGGGACAGCAGCGTCCCCTCCCCAGGGTTTTACTTTATACATTTTCTGTTACCTGCAGTCAGACTCACTTCAAAAATAGAAAACGGAAAATTCAGAAAACAACAATATGTGAGTTTTAGCTGACACTCTATCCTAAGCAGTTGATGAAATTGTTCTCTTGCCAGTCCTGCTCAGGACATTAATCATATCTTTGTCCAACATACCCACCTGCCATTAGTCACTTAGCAGCCATGTCACATCGCAGACTGACTATCATGGTATCAAAGAGCTTGTGTCCAAGTAAGCCTTATCTTACCTCATAAAGGCCCTAAAACCAAAGAATGGTGTAAAGGCAGCATAGGGCCATGCAATACGGACAGACAAATCAGCTCTAGTTCTCACTGGCCAGGCTGCGGGGTGTGTTAGGAAAAGGAGAGTACAGTCGTTACCTCAGTTCACAAACTTAATTTGCTTCAGGATTCTGGGGAAGACAGAGGTATTTGTGTTCCTGTGGGGAAGATGGCCACAGTTGTGCTTGTCACCAGATGTGGATGTTGTGAATGGAAGCAAAATTTTGCTGAATGCTCCTGATTGATGACTGAATTGTTTATGAACTGAAGGGTTTATGAATCAAGATATTGCTGTGTATACAGGGTTTGGCATGATCCATGGTTTGGGGCGCACACTGGGGTCTGGGGATGTGTGCTTGAAGGATAAAGGTGATACTATGGTACAAAGAAAGGGGCTTAAATCAGATATGGGCAGGAGGTGCTGGCAGCTAAGACTCCTCAGAGAAAGGCACTTGAGGAGTGTAGCTTCAGGGCTGTGTTGTTCTCTTCCGTTCCTCTAAGAAGAGGGTATTTATAATAGAACAAGAAGAGACAGCGCTTGGTACGAGAAACTAAAGGAGAGTTAACAGAGTGTAGTAAAGCTGAAACAGGGCCAGATCATGCAAGATTTTTAAACCATGGTAAGGATTCTGCATTTCACTCTGAGACTGACAGAATGGAACTGAGCAATTTAACACAAGAAGTACACACACACACACACACACACACACACACACACACACACGCACATAAATGGAGAAGATTTTTGTTTTCAAGAGTAAGGTTAGAAACTGGAAAGATTTTTTTTTAAAAAAACAATGAAAGCGGACGATATCATTGTAGTGGCAGTGATAGAGGAAAGCGACATTATTTCAGGGTTCTTGGGTCCGTGTAGAAATTGAAATCACCAATAATAGCTGCATCAGTCACCTGAGCTTTTGGAGTTAGAGATATCAGCAGGAGTGGGACCGGAAGAGGAAGCAAGGCTCGAGAAGAACATTAGGAAACAACAGTCAGGAGGAAAACAAACGTGGCATCATTGGAGCCAAATAGAAGATTTTCTCAAAGGTAATGTCTTAGGAGCATGAGCACTGCTGTCGGTGGCTCACGTCGTTGTTGCACTGTGTGTCCTGTGATGCTGCACGGGTCCAACACAAACAAATGGGCACATTTGGTAAATAAATGGCTTCGCATAGTAAGCACAGATACACACAAGAAAAGGACATGAAGTTGGGTGCCGGGGTGTTGTACAACAAACCTACTTCCTACCTTTGGGAACAGCAATAGGAGAAAGACTCGCGCAGTTGTCTATAATGTGTAGTAGCTGACAAAAGAGCTCAACAGAGCTTGACGAGAATAAAGATCCAGGTAGAATACAAAGAGAGAGTAAAGAAAAAGTGCTGGTTTCTTACAATGATGAGAGGAAGGACAAGGATAAGTGAAAAGACTGAGAAGTGATTACTGATGACCAAGTAAGAGTCATTTCAGATGTGGCGAGTATGTCTTGATGAGGAGTAGGCAGCTATGTTGATGGTGTTCATGACTTGCAGGGATTCCATAAATTATCGCAGAGCCACCCATGGCCCAGAAAATCAGAGAGGGCAGGACTCCTTTCTGTCAAATGAAGTGACCTCATGGAATTGAGCTCCTTGCTTTTGTCATGGAAAATATTAAGTAATGCATGCACACTTAAGAGTACTCCACAAGTAAGTACATTTTAGAAAGGTTGGGTGTAAAATCATTTCCTGGAACCTTACTTCATTTAAAAATTATAAATAGACGCTGCAGAATCTATGCTCTCCTTCTATAAGCAACTCCGGTATGAGAGTGTCATTGAATTGCTCTATTGCTTAGCAACCACAGGTAAAGAGCTAGTAAGTCAGGAGTCAAGATGCTATGAGACTCCTTGCAGGTCAGTGGCATGACTTCATTGTCCTTTGGATTCCTGTTCAAAGCCGATATTAACACAAGGCATTAGAACAGACGAAAGTTGAAATGCAAACGCTCTCACAGTCAATCAGTTGATCTATACATTGTGTGGGCTGGCACAATCTGCTATGTCACCCTGACAGTTGCATCTCTAAATTAACACCAGAGTAAAAATAGCCCAGGAACGGGACTTCAGAGGAACTTGTCTTAGCCATTTAGATATGCTAAAGACAAAGGCACATTTAAAGAAGTGTGCATGTAACAACGCAGACATTCATGGAAGCAACAGGAAATTCTATAAGGAAGACAAACGGGGGTGGGGGACATTCTTACCTGCAGCCATTGTGACTGGTCATTGTGGCCCGAGGTCCAGGCATTCACCTTGCCTTGTTTGTCCAGCCGGGCCTTCCTTGGCTCCCATGTGAACATGTCCATGTTGAGCGTCCTGAAGATGCTAGAGGCAGTGATCTGATAGTCTTGTATGTGCCCTGATTTCATTCCCAGAGGCTCTGAGCAGCCTGAGAGGAAACGAAAAAGCTCCATGAGAAAAATAATTTGTCATCCTGGCAACGTTCTGTGTTCATTTAGGAGAAGCAAGAGAAGATGAAACCTAATTCTCTCCATCCCCCCAAAGAGAGAGCATCTAAATTCAAAAGAAAAGGCTGTAATCAGAAAGAAATCTGGAACAAAACAGAAAAATAAGATAGCCAATTCGGGCCGCTTTGTCTGAATCTATTTTGGAAACATTGAAAACAATACAGACAATTCAAACTACTTTTCTCTGATAGATGATTTTGCAGAATGAAAACCATACTGAAAAACCCTCTCCTGTCTCATTACCAGAAGCCTCATAAGTGTTTCTTGGTTTTCAGCAGCTTCATTGTGTCTTTAAAAAATGGAGCATTTTCTCATAAAGCCTATTTGGTTTTTTTTTATTTGTTTTCATAATACTGCAAATGAAAATTCCCTCAGTACAAAGCCATTTTCAGAAATTGCTCCTCTGTTATTTTCTATACTGGACAGCAGTTTGTGGTCTAAGAAATATGTGCTAATCTTTATCACCGGTTCTGACTGCACCCATATGGATGCTTTGGGGAAAGCAGGACAATAAGGCTTACTTGGGCCTGGAGCACATACGAAATGTGAACCACTGGGTAACACAGGAAAAACAAATTCTGGCAAAAACCATCACTAGACAAATCTTTTAATACATTCTTTTATTTTAATCATACTCAGTAACGCTTTGTGTGTAAATATTCTTGAAAGATTCTCAAATCTACCACATATATTTTCAAGCTTCATACAGTGCAGAATTTGGATTTGTTTGTCACTGAAAATGTGTGTGTGTGTACAGGTACACACACACCATATATGTTCCCCAATTCCATTCACAAAGTTTGTAATAAGAAGCGTGATCCTATTACGATGTTAGCCAAGGACTGAGTGTTCTTTAAAAAAATAAAAATCTGGAATACTGGCCAAGATGCTTGCAAGGTAGGAAGATGAGTTTGACCATGAAAGCACAGAGAATAAATGCAGATTTCTGCAGTTCAGTACTTTTCATGTTCTACCGGATCCCCTCTAAGTGGCTGTGTGATGCTATGCCTATTACTTTTTGCCCATGTTTTCTCATCTGTAAAATGGTGATATTAATGCAAACTACCTCCAAGAAATGTTGTAAGAAATTACTTCTTTTGCAAAAGTGAAGGGTACTAAGAAATGGAGGGATGGAGAGAGGCAGAGAAGGAAAAGGAATAAAGAGATAATCAAGATGTGTTAGGTCCATGTACTAATTTCCCGCAAGAAATACAATCATTATGTACTACAGCTACGTACTAATAAAAAAGACTGGAAAATTTGCCTGAAAAAATTAAGGAAGACACAAATAAAGTGAAAGATATTCTCTGTTAAAAATGCATTAATAAAATATTTTTTAAAATTACTGGTACATTTAGCATTCTGGAAGTTTTAGATAGTTATATTATTTCATACAACTGACTCCAAAAGGAAGCAGCGTTAAGTCACCAAGTAGCAGCATATCCATGAGGATCCACGAACATCCTTTGATGGGGGATAGCTGATAGTGGGGACCCATTTAAATGAAGGCTGTGAGAGGTGGCTTAGAATAAATAACGCTTCACTTATAATTCTTAATTACGGTGAATTCTCTCTGTTCTGCTCCATTAATTCTTGCTTCTTGAGGCTTGTCCTAGTTTGCGCTCATCTCCCCGACCCACCGTGGGGTACTTTAACTTTGCAAATGTGACAAAAGATGTCAAGAAGGATTGTTGTCTCATCTCACATGTTCTTGGGAAGATATTTCTGTCAAGTCCCTGATAAAGACAGCCCTCAAGGCTCAATGTAAAGTCTGAGTGAGAAAGCCTCTGTACATATCTGAAGGATTGTAGGCTGTTCAGCAGGCACCGTGCCCTCTGTTTATCTTTGGGCAGTTCCAAGGTAAGGAGTGTTGTCTGCATTAGAGATGTCTCACCTGTCCCCCCAGTCCTCTCTCCTACCCTGTCCTTGCTGTCCCTGAGTCTTTGTATAACTTTGCTTCATTGGTGGAGGAGATGTAAGAAAAAAGAAGGCAGTCATTCCTTCCCTTCTGTAATGTAATACAGTATCAGATGGAAGAATGTTCTGGACCACTCCTGCTTTATCATTAAATTCATTTCATACTCATTCTATTGTTCTGTGCTTAGCTAGGAGGAAATATTAGTAATGATTTATTCAATGAATGAGTTTACTTTCTAATTATGGTTATGCTCTGTTTCATTCAAAACTTTGTAAGTTGTGTCTCTTGCAGAGGATTTAAAAATGTTCCTTCTAAGTGTCTGGGAAGAGACTAACTGCTGATCTTCTAATCAGGCTTAAAAATCTTATGTCAGTTCCTTGAAAAAAATAAAGAATCTTGAACATTAAAGTGTTGTACTCAACTTCAAGAAAAACCTTGGAACATTTTCACTATCTCGAAGTGTTACAGCAAACTTCTCTTCCCTGGTGTCTCACATCTCAAATTTCCCTTCTCATCCACAGTATTTCATGCATTTAAATTAATTAACTATTTCACCAGTGTGGACAGCACCTGAACAAAGTGAAATATCAAGATCTAAATTGATTATTTCTATAGCACAATTCTCCAGCTTCTACAAACAACCATGGAGAAATATTCTCTGCATGTAAATTGAAAATCAATTTGCAGGGTTGGGAGATAGAGCACAGCTTCTTTTTGAGAAAATAAAATCTGTAAATTGTCAGGTGTAACCTCTTGTCAAGCTCAAAAGAAAAATATATTTACACCCTAGGGGTGTAGCTGTGCCATGTATGAGAGACTGACGCTCATGAATCAAAGGACTGAAAAATTGGTGATGGTGATGTTAAGCAACTAAAACCACAGGGCTTACAGCGGATCTCATCATGTTGTGGCTTCCTCCTGATTGCTTTATGATGAATGGCTTCAGGATGACAGTGGCCTGTGGTGGCACAGTGACATGCCGTGCAATCGTTGTACAGTAATAATTCTTCTCAGATTCGCTCACAATCAATAAACTGGCTCAAACGACCAAAATAGGGAAGAGGTCTCTGTTCACATAATGAATGGCACTAACTCTGCGTGTATTTCCTTCCTAAAACATACTAACATAGAATGAAAATATGAGTCTTAAAAATACACTCACTCAGCTGACCAAATCACTATCATATCTTTCAGTGGGTTCTCTAAGATTCGTTCTTTTTAATACCGCTTTTCATTTACTTAACTATCCTTTTTTCTAGTATCATAAATAAGTCTATGGAGGAAATCAGATAGAGTACAGCATGTAATCTATGAATCCAAACCTCTCAGAGGCCTCTTTGCAAGGACCTCGCCTATTCAAAGGCATTGATTTAAGTTTAGCAAAGGTGTTTCCCATATTTTAAGGTTATGCTAACAAACCAGGGGGCACACGTGAAATGTACATTTCCTCCACAGATATTAAACAAAATAACCTCGGGTTTTTGTGACAAAGATAGGTAAAATTTGATGCCAGAAATATAAAAACTACCAAAAATGTAAGTCAGTGTGAAACAGCCAAAGAAACTTTTCTATTTATTTCAGAATAAAATGGGACCACTGTGAGGTCCACTCATTAATTCTTCATCTTTGCACCTGGTATTGATGCTCCTGGAGGGCAAGAATGATTTAAAGTGGAGTCCTGTGACAGATTATCCTCAAGCTGGGTAACCACTATTTGTACAACAAGCAGGTTTCTTTCTAAGGATGACCCCAGAATGAATTATAGCAGCAATCTTGGTATTGAAATATTGTTCCACATGGAGGGATGATGAATTTAAAAATTTCACAAAAGTCTAAAAGAAAAAAAGCACCCAGTTCTTTAGGTAGAAAGACAAAGACACAGCTTGCTTTTATGGACCAGATAGTCTAAATATAAGAGGTCAAGCACATTCCAGTTTTTACTGAGCTTTTGTCAAAACATACAGCATAGGTACCACCCCAAACAAGGAGACGTGTCTAACATTGACAGGCCTCCCATGGGAATTCCTTGCACTGACTTTGACCACCCAATAAAATACATTACTCTTTCTAAATTAATTCTGTTCTCCAGCATGTTTTACTGCCTGTTTACACATAAGCAACAAGGTACTATTTCTCACCGAACCGTGTCCTAGACATTGTGTAGCAGAAATGAATTTCTACAGGTGTTGAAATCTGCAGGTTCGTGTTAAACTCCACACAAGTATACTTCTGGTTTTCTTTAAAGACCATATAGAAATAGGTAATATGAGGCTCACCTGATAGTTCACAGCCCAGCAGTTCCATTCGCAAAGTGCAATGCCTCCGGCACACTTGGGGATAGAGTCTCACGTACTGCGCTTTGATGGGTGGAGTGAAGGAGTTAGCATAGGGCGTATTGTTGTCCACATTTCCACGGAACACCTGCGGCAAGACATAATCCAGATCTCTGTATTATGAATTAGCGAAGGTTCTTTACTTCGAAACACTGACCCTATGCCTTATGCTACAATACTTTAAAGTTATTAAATAATGTGGGGGCCCGGAGTGCTTAAGGAAGGATGTTACCATCACCGATGGATATAAAATCCATAGGTAAAATCCTAATTAAAGCAATAAAGTGCTCTGGCCTATGGCATAACCTATACTTCACTACAATGACCTTCATAATTTTGAGGCCAATTCTTCAGAGTCAGAGGAATACTTTTCTGTTATTTGGAGAAGGGAATCTTAAATCTTTCAGCTTAATATACGTCAGGTTCTTTATTTCATAACTCAGTACTTCAACTTTTATTTTGGTAGAAAAACATTTGCACTGGTGCTTCCTGGTCACTGTGTTTCTAAGGCCATGATCAGATGTATGATGCCTTAGGGTCTGACTGGCTGGGATGAGATCTGCACCGGGTAGATGACTGGGTAAGAGATTTACAAACCTTGTATTTATTATCCAGTAAAAAGTTATGTTTCCTTCTAAAAAAAAGTACTAAAATGTGTCAAATGAAATCCTTCAAATCTCTTTCTTACTTTTATCTTTATGTAACTTAGTAAACAGAAAATCTTATTTAAATTTACTTAAGAGGTTAACTTTGAAAATCTTTCATAAAAATTTTTGTTTGGTTCTTCATGAGATGATCTGCAGTCATGATATTTTTAAGATTAGCATTTTTAGGATGAATTAATTTTAAAATTCTGAATATCCTTAGAAAAAGGAGAGGAGATATTGCACATTATATGCATTTCCTCTAAAATATATTTTCTGCGAAAGGACAAGTATACTTTCCCAATGTGAAGCATATAAAAATATATGTATTTCTAGCACTTGGTGTTTTTCTAGTTTTCAGGAAGATACTTTTGATCAATAGTTATTTGATGAAGGAGAGTGTTAGTGTGTACATAAGCAATGAGGATGATGTTGAAAGCTGACCATTGTTAGCGTAAAGCCTAAACGTCACGCATTAAGATTCTGCTATTTTATGACAAAGTACTTGTTGGGACATCAACTAAAATTCTAGAGAATTGTAAAAATGGCTGCTGTTATACGTTTGTCCCTCAGAGAATCTCGTACTCCCTTAATTCCAATAGCCCAATTTTAACAGAATAATGAAGATTCAGAAATGTATTTTCCACACGAGACTCTCCCGAAAGGCTCCGCTGTCACGTGCAAGTCAAGGAGCGTCCGCGAGGTGGTTCCTTTTCCCTGAGCGGTCTCCAGTCTCACCCTGTCTTCACTGGTCCCTTTGGCTTTGTACACAACCCACGTCTTCCCGTCGTTGCTGTAGGCGATTTTGTAGGACTTGATATACTCCGGGCTCCCGATCCTCTTTGCTCCTTGGGTAATCACACCAGTAACTCTCATTTTCCTTTGTAAATTTATCTGAAGAGACAAAACATAATCAACAATAAGCATTCCAGCACCAGGATATTGGCAGTTTCCATTTGAGGACTGGAACGTTTTTATTTATCAGTATAGATTTTTAGATAGTATAAAAAGCTAATCATGACCCTGTGTTCTGTTTCCAGATAAATGTATCAAGCAGGCACACATTAACTTCAAAACCTCTATAATGGAATACTTTTTAAACAAAACAAAAGCCATGCTTGAAAAGTTTTGAAAAGTGCACTCTGCCCTCTAGGGTAGAAGTATAGATTGTATGTGGTTGTTAAGCAGATATATCTTGCCAAACTAAAAAACCTTAGTAAATTGATCCATGGAAACATTCTCAATACAAAACTACTCAGTATTATTACTAGAATATTTTAATGCCAATGTGATTTTTAATGGATCGCAACAGATTTGGGATTCAAAAATTTTCGTTTAAAACAAAACATGAAAATCTCACTAAGTTCTTTGTCTCTAGAATGAAAAGTGGTAAAGGCAATAAAAACTGTAAAACCGAAAATAGTGTCATAGGTCCCTAGATGCTTATCGTAGAGTCTCTGCTGGGGTTTGTGGCAATGCTCACGGTGGACCCCTCCCTTTTCACCCAATCGTTGGCTCTCCCTGTGCTCTATCCCAGGGACACTTTCTAACTGGGACTTCCTCCCTGTATTCTCTATTTCAAATCACTTTGTGACAGTTTGCCAAAGGAGTTGTAGATATGTTATAAAATTTTAAATATTTTCTCAGTTATAAATAGGAATCTTTTTGATATGTATAATTATTATTATTTTTTTTTTTTTTGGTTTTTCTCCGGTACTGGGAACCGAACTCACGACCTTGCGCTTGCCAGGCAGGCGCTTTTGCCGCTGAGCTAAATCCCCAGCCCTGATATGTATAATTATTAAAATAAATGCTACAGTGCAAAAATGCTTCTTTGACAGAATAATCATCAAAATCTGTTTTGTTCACTTTAAAAGGCCTTGATGGTGTGTGTTTGTAAAAAGTGGAAAGGTACCGATTCACTGTTTTTCACAAGTTGCAGTAATGTATCCTTCTTCACCAACACAAATCAGGAAGACTTAAATGTCTCATGTGTACTACTAACTTTATCATTCAGAGACTCTTTTCCAGAGAAAACCAGACACCCACTGACTTCTGCGAAGTGACTAGGGTTTTCCACTCTGTTAGGACTTTGAGAGTCCACACTGGAAATTGCAGAGGATGTGCATGATGAAACCAGCCACTCAGTAACCAAGTTCTGGGGCTCAAATTCTGATCTTTCCTCTCGGAGCTTCTTGAGTTTCCTCCCCAAATGCTGCTCTGGATGACTTCCTGCCTTACTTGTGTGTGAAGATAGCCTCTTACTAGATGAACTGCATTGCTGGGGTGGGGTGGTTCCCAACCTCCAGCTGCTAAGCACAGATCCCTCTGCTCGTATTCTTCAAACACAGACCTTAAGAACAACATTTTTGTATAAAAAGACCATATCTTTTTTATCCATTCCTCAGTGGATGGACATCCACTTGGGTTGTTTCCAAGATTTAACTATTACAAATTGCGCTGGTATAAACATAGGTGCACATATTTTGTTATGTTGGTTTTTTAAAAAATGAAAAACACAATTTTTATGTATGTACAAGGATAGCTGGGATAGGTGTCTTGCTGATGTCTATAGTTTATTGAGAGGAACAGTCAATGCTTAAAATTTTCTTTTTTCTTGACCAATTTTACACACTTGAATTTGGTAATGAGAATGCCTGATCTGAAAACAATATGCAGTATACGAACCATGGTTGACCTCCTACCATTTTGTATGGTGAAACTCTGCATCATTTCCAGTGTTTTTAAAAATTATTTTTATTTATTTATTTTTTTACCTGTTACTGTCTTTGATTGATCAGTCTTATGTTCTTATGTCTAATGTATTGAGCAACTTAGTTGAAGATAACGGTATGTAATTCAGCAATCATTGTAAATTTCTATCATTTTGTCTTGAGGTCATGTATCATTTCTGTTGCTTTTGTGTTGCTTTTATTTTGTTTTCATTGTTGTTTTGTCAGTTTTTTAATTTTTAAAATAAAAAACCGAGCAACATTTTTGTTTTAAGATTCTGGGTTGATGGTCAACTTTTTCTCCAACAGTCCTGGGTGGATTGACTAAAATACTCCATGTTGATCGTTTCATTTCATGCTCAGACACCAGAGTACATAGCGATATGAATACATTCTTAAATCTCCTCCTCTTCTGGAGGCTTAAAAGGAGAATATGTGCCATGGATGTCAACCTTCCTTCTTTAATATTTGTTCATATTTATCTCACTGACTCCTCTAATGATTAACTTCGGAGTCCTCAGTGTGGAACAGGAAACTCCTGAAAGGTACTTTATTCGGTGTGCTAGGTAAATTAACTCAGCGCTGTGGAACAACACCTTTCCAGCAGCCTGTGTGCAGCAGGGGACAGCTTGAAGTATATTTTCCCTTGTTTTGGACGCCAAATTCCACAGTTTAGCGCATTCCTGTTTCAATTATCTTTTATCTCATCTCAATTATCTTGTTTATACCTCTTGTAGACAGCCAAATTATCTTTGCTAGAATTTTGGCTGGTGAGGTATGCACTGATTTTCTAAAGCTGAAAGTGTGCACCTATAACCAGAAACAAAATCTGAGTTTATGTTTTTCTCTGAATCATTAGAAATTACATCCAAGAGCCTCATATTTGCTGTCACATTTAGAAGTTCTGAGTACATAGAATGCTGTGTAGTAAGCAATCATCCAACTTGAGTTGCTTCTACTTTTATTATATACTTTTAAGTAAATATCATTGTTTTCATTAAATATAAAATAAAAGCAAAGATGATTTACAGAATACAGATTCTGGGATCACTACATTTTAGTAATTATTATGGGCCAGAGTTTTTATTTCTTATGTATCTAACATGATTAAGCTTAGATAACAAGAGCTTCAATATAAAATGACTAACATTTCACCTTCGAGATTATATTCAAGTTTAACACCAGGAATTTAAGTTACTGTAAAAAACTAAACTTGCCTTTGAGGAAGGCTGTAACATGATGGCAGAAGCAAGTCCACAGCAAATAAACATAAGCCATCCTCAATCATTTGATTCCAACATTATTTTTGATCTCTTATAAAAAAATGGCTAAATGTAATTTTAGGTGTATTCTGCCTGTATTACTCACACAAGTCACTATGTTAAGGGTCTGCTGGGAATTGCATTGGAAATTCATAAATTATTCCAAGAGCTTAATAGGTGGCTGCACATGAAATAACATGTTTCCATTTAGGTTTTATATTCTAAAGAAATTATTGTCCCACTGGGTGGTAGCTAAACTCTAATTTTTAAGAACAAAGGCATACTCTAGAAATTTTGAGTGAATTATGTTCCCTGAAGAACACAGATATGAAAAAGAGCCATGTAGATTTGCTTTTCCTCAGCATAAGCTGAGGTTGGTAGAAAGTAGAAAAGACTGCAGAATTTTGGGCTTGATTCTCTGACTTCCTGTCTTCCCTACACCGTCTTGGCCAATTTGTCTCAGCTTTTTGAAGGCCAATTTCCTCTTTTGAAAAAGAGGTTTTAAGGGGCTGGGGATTTAGCTCAGCGGCAAAAGCGCCTGCCTGGCAAGCGCAAGGTCGTGAGTTCGGTTCCCGGTACTGGAGAAAAACCAAAAAAAAAAAAAAAAAAAAAAAAAAAGAGGTTTTAATAGAATGATTATATGTGACAATTATGTGATACATACATGTAAAAATTTTAACAATGTCTGCCTCCTAGAAAACCGTTACGTTTGACTTTCCAGTTTTCTGTGTTTGTTTTTAAGTAATAAGGAGCATTCTTGTGTGTGTGTGTGTGTGTGTGTGTGTGTGTGTGTGTGTGTGTGTGCTTAGCCACTTAATATTAAGGAGTTTGGATTTGGAGAGGTGTATTTATAAAGGGTGATTATCATAATAACCATATGAAGACAACTTTGTAAACAAGTTCCAGAGCTATATGCTAATAAGGCATTTAGAGCTTCAGTAATTAAGTGTGCATGTATAAATCTAACCATTAGCTTCAAAATGCTGAGGGGAAGAGAAAATTAATGGGTCCTTGAGAAGGTAGCAAGCAGCATGGGGCACTCGCCTTGTCGAATCTAACACCAAGCTGCTCTCATGAAAGAGGCTGCCAAGAAGGCACTAAAATTTACTAAAATCAAACACACAGATACACACACACACACACACACACACACACACACACACACACAACATAATGATGATAATAATAACAGAAATAATAACAATAATAGTAGGAATCCCCCATGTGATGAGAGTTGTCAGATGCTAGTGAAGATGCTTGTGGGTCTGGAGTGTGTTGCAGGGATCTCCAAGGACTGATGTGGGGATCCAGGCTGGGGAGGAACTTTCTGGACGTGGCATTTCTCATTCTCACTTTCCTTGTCCTGGCTCCGTGCTACCCAGGCAGCACAAGAAGTGGTGCGAGAGTGTGGATCCAGGCTGGAATGGGAAGCTATAGTCACTAGCAGGCTACATGTTCTATTCTGTGCACTCTACCTCCCTAGGTGAAGGACTTGAGAAGTAAAACCATGAAGAAGGTTCTGGTAAGAGCAGTGTCCTGCAGGGAGGATAGAAACTGAGGTTTAGCTTGGATTTGAGTTCCTGCAGGAGGTGCTCTCTGGATCCCACATGAACCCCCTGAGGTGGTTCAGGCTAGAGCTTGGGTTTCATCCTCTGCTATAGATGCACTGCTAGGCAAGACATCCATAGCAAATTCCCTAAGAAACTGGAACACCACTATCACAAGAAAGGAAAGAAAAAAAAAAGGTGAGAAGAGAAAAGAAAAGAAAATGGGACAAAAGAAAGAAAAGAAAAAAGGGTAAGAAAAGCAAAGAAAAGATGGTAATGTTAAAAAAATAAACAAATGGACAAAAAACTAATCTAATCAAACTAATAAGTTAAGACTTCAATTAAAAAAACTA